ATAGACTCTTGAAACAAAGAAAATCAATCAATACTCATTAGGGTTAATTAGAAACTGAAAACAAAATAGATCATTTTTTATTATTTATTACACATAATAATATACTTACCTTTGTCATCGCATACCATCCAGAACCTGAGAACATATACTATCAATTCAGCATCATTTTGCTCATACACACGAACAAAGTGCCTAACAATAGCTCCTCTCGCAATACACGCAATGACACCATCTTTCCTATGACAACGACATCAACTATGAATATACCATAAAATAACAACAAAAATGTTTTATTCAAAAATAATTTACAAACTACTAACTTCGCATCGCAGAGTTCAAAACGAACGTGACACAAATCCTCCTCGTATGCATCACTATTATTGTCCTGCAGAGTTCCCATCCTTAAAACAGTTCCCATTACATCTGTGGCAAAACGTATTTCAGACACATACAATCACGGTAACCAAGTATGAAACAATTCAAAAAAATCAAAAAAAACAAATTACCGATTAAAGATCGAGGTTCAAAGTCCCTAGTACGAATATAGAAAATTCGCCGACATAGAAGAAATAGTCCAGGAGGTCCATCATTAAATCTTCTAACCCTTGTCAAATGACCGAACTCGATCTTTTGACCGTAGTCGGACAAAATCACAGATCCAGTCTCGCGTTTAACTTTGAAATTACAGAACTCATACCAAGACCCTTCCTTGAAGTAGTTTTCATAAATAAGCAATTCACCGGGCAAGACAGTCACCGAGATTTGTGTTCGCTAGCCAAAAATAGAAATCAAAATCTAAAGAAGCCACAAGTTCTGGAAAAAAAATTCACATGCAAAGAGAAAAGAGTAACCTGTTCCATTTATTGATTTCTAAAAATTTACCTAACTATCGGTAACTATTAGCTCCAATGTACGACCGAAGAAATTGACCTGCCTCCAAATTCGAAGAACCTTCACACGAACAGACAGCTCGATGAAACCCTTTTTTATCCCATAAAGAGAATCCATAGCGAAGAAAAGAACGCCAAAGCAAAGATCGGAAGGTACTTCCTGTAGTTTATTTATGGGTCTTCTTGAATGGCAAAGAAAAGAAGGTTATGCGGCTTAAAGAACCCTAAAAGGCGATATATGGCAGTAAACGATCTACTTTGGGGACAGATATTTTTTTAAAAATCACTGACATCTGTTCGCTTTCCAATTATTTGTCCATATCGAACTCATTGCAAACTATATTGGGCCCAAGTAAACGAATAGTTAATTAATTCGACCCATACGAATACAATGAAAGTAAATAAACATCGAATATAAAAAGACACGACAACAATCTACACTATCATTATCCAATAATTTTTTTAGAGAATATAAACGACAACGACTTTAATATCTTAATATAGTCCAAGATATCCGATATCGAACAGCATGGTATCCCTTACAATTCTAATCTACAAAAACCTAATGTAAATTAATATAGAAATTTCTGGATGGATGAGAATAATATACTGCACGATATATCCCATTTCATTTTTTTGACTTAGAAGATGTCAATAATATACACTATTATACGTATATACACCAATATGCATATAAACACTCCATTTTATATAGTCTCGTTCAATATACGACATACTAACAAATTTCAATTAGTACGCTAAACTCTTATTTTTATACATCTTAAAAAAAACAAAAAATCTAATCAAAATATCATTAAACAACCAAATAGAATAAAAATAATTTATTAAGAGAACACATTACTATTACAAATCATAGACGGCCTAAATACAAATCATAGATAACATAATACAATCAAATTACATAAATATCGACAGAATATCAATGAAAGTGCTTCTCTTCAAGGCATACACGATCAAGCAGATACACTGAAGAATATGAAAATTTCTATCTTTGATAATCCCAACATGTCCTCTACACTCCAAACTCAACATTAGACAAATCATTAATTACATCCTTGCAAGAACCCTATCACACATTAAACATTACAATTAAAAAAAAATCGTCAGATGTTGAAAAAAAAAATCATCAGATATAAATATAGAAAAACGTCAAATACAATTTGATCTTATTAAGAGAATATAAACATCACAAAAGGGACTATACACAAACTCTGAAACAATAAGTCAATAGAAAAACCATAACGGCACAAACCTCTCGAGTAGAATGTGAATATATCGACAATATATTCGAAAGGGCGATCACGCCACACCCACCAATCCCCAATTAAAAGTGAACAACCCTTAGCCATCAGAAACAAAACGAAAACCCAATCAATATCACAAAATACTGATTACAGGAAACAAGAGCGGATACTTATTTATATTCATCAACCAAGATTATAGGATATACCAAATCAAATCAAAACAAACACATAATACCTGCATATACATGAAAAGAAACTAAAGAAGCATATACAAAATCAAAATATATTATCTATTAAACAACTACGAAAAATTAAATAACATTTTGATAATACCTCACAAACCCGAAACCGATATATATCGATGAATATCCAGTCATTAATAAAAGGACAAAAAGTACGAACGAAAATAACATTATACATCTGTATATTCGTTATAAACAAAGAACATACCGTTTAAACCAGATCAAAAATTCGAGATGATAAATAAACCATACCACCTACATAATACATATGAAGAATTCATTAGATAAGCATATAGGAATAAATCCATCAAATAACTGTATACATAAGAATATATTAATCAAATATAAAATCAAAAACATGATAAGCTGCAAAAGTACAAAATGGAAACAACATCTCGATGATTCTTCACGTAGTCAAAACGTAGTCAGCGCCGAAAATCTATCCGTCAACAAAATAAAAAAAGGTTAAACGAAAATCCAAATCAACAAAAGAATGTAATACATCTATATGATATATGTAGAGAGCATACCGTCTAAGCAGGGCAGTACTTCAAGAAGATCAACAAAGCCATCAACTGCATGCATATAAAAAAATTCATTAGATACACGTATGAAAATTTTACCAAAATACAAAATCTAACAAACACGAAAAACAAATAAACAAATCGATAATTTTTGCCCATCCTAGAATATTGAACTATATATATAGAGAAGATTAGGATTACGTGTCAACCGCTCATACATTATGGACTACAGCCCGAATTAAAATAATAATTTTAAAATTTTAGAAAGTATATGAAATTACCTAGATTTTATTAAGATTCGCATAGGATAATGGTAAATAATGGTAAATTTATCAAAATTTGCATAGGATAATTGTAACTATATTAATGTTATTCACAGTTTGATAACCATATAATCATTAAACCAATGAATATTCCTTTTTGATTAGCTCCTAACTTATTTAGAATTTAAAAAATATTAAAAATATTTAAATATTAAATTCGAGATAGACACAAAATCAGCAAAGAATTAATATTGAAAATCTCGGAAAATATTAGAATAGATTAACGATTTCTTTATTAAGGATACTTAAGTAATGTCTAGTGAGATTGAATGAGAGAGCTCAATTCCTCAAAATCACTTCACAAATAAAGGTTTAGAAGATGGCAATGTGGATTACTAAAGATTTTGTATACCAACGTAATTCAATGATAATATAAGTATGTTTTGTCGAAAAAAACAAATATTCTCAAAATCATTTTCATATTTGAACTTTTCTCTAACTTCCAATTACCTCCTAAAATTCTTTAATTTTTCTTTCACTATTAAAATAAGTTCCATAAAAAATCGGTGTTGAAGATCCACAAAATACGATTACAATCTTACGAAATCTTTTAAACATTAGTCTTTCGAAATCTTTCAACAATCGTATTTGTATTTCACTACTAAGCAAATTTGCTTCCCTCGTCTCTTTTCTCTTTCGTTTAGTTGATAGAGATGAATCAACCACGTGTGCTTTCTACATTGTAACATTTACTTTTAGGATTTATTGGTTTGGGCTCAAGGTTTTTTTTGTATGTGTTTTAATCACATTTCAAGACATATTTGGAGATATATTCCACAGAATTCTCACCAATCCAAAATAATATTATTATATAAAACATATAACGCTAAATTGTTAAAAACAAATTTGCAAAAATATTAAATAATAAATAAAAAATAACTATTTGGTACTCTACACAATACTTGATCCATAACGAAACAATTTAAGAGATAATTTTTGAAATTCATTTGATAATTTTATTATGAAACATGACATTCCTCAATTGACCTATTAGAGAGATCTACTAGTTTGGTTTCAATCTGCTGTTAATATGTCAGTAATTGCAATTAGTCTAGCATTAGTCTGCTAGTAGTCTACATTCAATTATTTGACCAAACAGTATGCCAGTAATATGCATTCAATCTTCTCTTAGTCTGTCATTAGTCTAAAAAAAGATAAAAATTGTCATTTTCACAATTTTTTCTCTATGGGATATCTATTTTACATTATTTTATTTTGGGTCATTTTGGAGTATTTCTTTAACAAATTTTATATATAATTTCTATACAACTCATATCCAATGCAAAAACATAAAACAAAACTATTCTACTATTTTCTTACAAACCACAAGAACCCAACCACAAATCTTTAAAGACACAAATTTCTGATCGAACGCTCTGAAGAAATACCATTCTTACATCAATTTTGAAAACACTATAAAACACAGCACAACAGAAGCATGAGAGAAAAATCAAACTAGACATGATAAAACTGAACTCAAAACTTGAAGTACACAACAACAAACTTCGTGTGCTGAAACATAAGCAAACTAAAGTGGTGCACAAGTTAGCAAGAAATCCTATGGGAATCTGAAATACACCAGAAGACAAAAAAACGAAACCAAATAAACACAGAACAAAAAGCTTCATTTCTGGAAACACAAGAAAACAAAACTACAAGATGGCAACAAAATTATTAAAAAATATTAAAAAAAAAAATTTGTCGGCAACTTTGTTACTTTGATTAATAAAACAAGTCTTACAAGTTACACAAACCACTTAATACAGTACTCTTTACAGTGGCGTCGAGCTTCCTTCGCTAGTTTATCTACTACATGAAGTAAACTTCTTGGAACATATTTAAAATGAAAAGATGATGTAGAGGAGAGAGCTAAGATATCTTATACCAGAATTGCAATGGAGGATGAGGATAGAATTTTGCCATTGATCGGGTTTCCTCCACCATGAGAAGCAAGGAGAAAATATAAGACTTTGCAATCACCTGCAAAATTTATATGATTATATCCCAACACTTGAAGACGTTGAATAGCCATAAGTAATGATATTCATTCTGCCTGAAGAGAAGTTTGCGTCTGCGGTATAGACGTATTACCCTAAAGCAATTGAATGCCTTATTTGCTGTATAAGGACCATCCAATGCCTGCTCGGTTAGAAGATAATACCCAAGATGCATCAACTAAACAGTAGTAGGCAGAACTGTCTTCTATAACATCATGAATTAAAGGAACTTCAGATGTAAAGGCATGAGGTGCATCAGACAACTCCAAATGAAGCGAGTCTTCCCATTGCTGTTCGTCTATAAATGCCATCCAAATGGTATGAGTGATGATCTCTCTTTTGTTCAAAGAAAAGATTATTACGCATCTTCCAAATACGCCATCCTAGGAAGAACACAAGTGTTTCAGCATGGTAAGATCGCAATTGAGTCAACCTTAGCTGGAGATTATGCAATAAAGTATTTTGATTAAGTTGCTCGGTTTGCATTATCCCAGTGGTGGCTAGCTCCCATATCTTCTTGGTAACTCGACATTGAAATAGTAAATGCTTTAAAGTTTCTGCATAATCTCCACATAAAGGACAACTAGAGTTTACGTTCAATCTACGGTTCTTAAGATTATCAGAAACATGTAAACTATTATGAGCAACACGCCACTAGAAAAGCTTAATTTTATGGGGGATCTTAGCCTTCCATAGAAGTCGACATACCTGTTTAACTTCATCAGGGATTCGTGTGGATTGGCATTCCGGTACAGTGTTCTCAGTTATTAAACGCCTTTGGATATAATATCCAGACTTAACTGAGTATGACCCTTGAGCCGTGTAGGCCCATGTAAGAACATCATCTGCTGAGGTGATGCTTGGACGTAATTGCAAGATCCTTTGAATATCATCAGAAACGACATAAGTGGTTAACTTATTGTAGTTCCATTCAGCAGTTCGTGGATTAATAAAGTCAGCTACGTAGAGATTGGGAGGAATAGTATCTTGCCTGGGACATGGAGGACGAGGAGGCTCTGTGGGTAACCAATTGTCTTTCCAAGCATGGATCTGATCTCTTTTATCTACAAGCCAGCGAGTTCCAAATTTTAACAGAGGTTGGCTCTGAATTATGCTTTTCCAAGCATAACTAGATTTCGTATAGCTTGTAGCTTCTAGGAAAGATGAGTGATGAAAATACTTAGCTTTTAAAACTCGTGCCATCAATGAGGTGGGATGTTGAGGAATTCGCCAAGCCTGTTTCGCTAAAAGAGCCAGATTGAAGTCATGCAGATCACAAATACCTAAGCCACCATCTGCTTTTGAAGAAGTTAGCTTATCCCACGCCACCCAAGGGATCTTATGATGCCCCTTAACACCAGACCACCAGAAGCTATGCATTGCAGAAGTTATATCTCGAATGATATTCTTAGGCAGTAGAAAACAGGACATTGTATAAGTAGGAAGGGAAGTGATGACAGCTTTAAGTAAGATTTCTTTACCAGCTTGAGATAGGTATCGGTTGTACCAGCTAGCAATCTTATTCTGTACACGTTGCATAATATATTGGAAGACATCCTTTCGACGCCTTCCTATATGCTCGGGCAATCTAAGATAGCGCCCTAATCCTCCAATTTTGTGAATGCCCGTTGAATGTCATTTGTAGTGTCTTTACTGAAGGTAACCGCAGACTTAGTATAGTTAATTTCTTGACCTGAGCCTCGCTGATAAATAGATAAAACATCCATCAAATTAGTACACTCAGCTTCTGAGGCTCTACAAAAAAACCAGAGAGTCATCTGCAAACAGAAGATGTGAAATTGTTGGCCCATTTCTAGATGCTCTATAACCGTGAATAGACTTTCTTTGGATTCAACTTTTTATAAGTCGAGACAAACCCTCAGTACAAATCAAATATAGGTAAGGAGAGATAGGATCACCTTGATGGATGCCCCTCGTGGGGATAATTTTATCAGAGGGACCTCCATTGATGAGAACAGAATAAAAAACAGTAGAGATACAGCACATAATCCAAGCTCTCCACTATTCGTTGAAGCCCATCTGTTTCATTACAGTGTTGAGAAATGGCCATTCGACACGATCAAAAGCTTTAGTGATATCAAGCTTCAAAGCTATATAATCCTTAGACAACTTTTTAGTATGCAACGAATGTAATAGTTCATGAGCAATTAACACGTTGTCAGTTATAAGTCGACTCGGAATAAAAGCTGATTGGTTATCTAATATAATAGAAGCCAACCAAACTTTCAATCTATCTGCTAAGATCTTCGAAATAATCTTGTAAGCCACTTTAGTAAGACTAATAGGCCTATAGTCTTTAACCATTGTAGGCGTGGGAATTTTAGGGACTAAACAGATATATGTATGATTAATTTATGGGTCCAAAAAATTCTCTTCGAAGAAGAGCTGAACGAAAGGAAATACACCTTGTTTGATAGCAGGCCAGTGATGTCTAAAGAATCCAGCTGTCATACCATCAGGGTCTGGCGATTTGTCCGGATTGATAGCAAAAACTGCTTTTGTGACCTCATCTTCACTAACCGGACAAGTAAGAGCACAAATGATTTCAGGAGTAACTGTTGTTGGGATGTTGTCAAGGATCTCCTGAGAAATGTCGCAGCCATTAGAGGTATATAATGTTTCAAAGTAATGTTGAATTTCATGCTGTACATCTTCAGGCTTAGAAAAGTGATGACCTTTTTCATTACGCAGATGTAGGATCCTATTAAAAGCTCGGCGTTGCTTTGTTTTGGCATGAATATATCTAGTGTTACGAGCACCAACTTGCAACCAAAGAATCCTACTCTTCAATTTCCAATACTCTTCTTCCATCTTGTACTGAAACTGCAGTTGAGACTTTAAGGAATGAATAAGATTATAATCTAACTGAGAAGCCTCATAAGCAGTATTAAGTAGATTCCGTAGTTCGACAATTTGTTTTTGAGAATTTTGAATCGTAGAACTTTTCCATCTAGATAAGGCAACACGACACTTAGCAATGGCTTTACTGAAAATAACACGTGGGATCGTGGAGCAGTGAGTGTTCCAGGTTTTGGCAACTAAATCACGTACCTCTAGATTGCACTTCCACCTATTGTCGTAGCGAAACATCTTGTAGCCAACTTTGCGATACAGCTCAGTATGAATTAGTAAGGGGCAATGATCAGAGCCATTCCAAGGTAGAATCTGAACATATGCAGTGGGAAACATATCAAGCCAATGGTAATTTGCTACTGCCCGGTCAATTCTAGTTTTCACAGTATACAAGTGTCGAGTCCCAGTCCAAGTGTACTTACCACAAATTGTTTTCAAATCATGTAACCCACATACAAACAGCATATTGCGAAATAGAGAAAAGGAACTTTCTGACATGGAAGGACCACCTTTCTTATCAGCATTGGAAGCTATATAATTGAAGTCACCAAACACCAAGCATGGCTTGTCCTGATAGAATCCTGCATTAGCTTGAGAAATCATAGAGAGCCACTGATCTTTACGATACTTATAAACTGGATTTCCATATATATAGGTGCACCAAAAAGTGTTAACACCTTCCATTATACACATGTCCGTGCTATTAAGAGCAGGGTTAGACAAAAATTTGATGGCAACACTATCATCCCAAAAAAATTCCATGCCACCACTAAGCCCCTTTGGAGATACTATAATACAATGGGCATAACTAAGTTCTTTTGCTACTTGTTTTACCAAACTATCGCTATTTTTAGTTTCTACAAGGAGCATGATATCAAGTTTTGAAGACCGCCTGATATCCTTAAGATTTGGAATTGTAAGGCTGCTCCCTAGACCTTGAAAATTCCAATGCAAAAGCTTCATTGATCCTCTGGTGGTTTTAGGGGAACCACCAACCCTGTTGCTTCAGTAGAGACTCGGGACTGACGTTTGGTATTGGATACTTGCAGGTTTTCTTCAGCATCCTACAGCTTCCTTTTAGAACCATGTTCCACACTACGAGATGACTCTCTTTGATCAGATGAAGCTATCTTCAAGGCCAGGAGAGAGGGGAGAGTTGGGGCAGAACATACAGGGGAAAGGATAGCATCATCTGGAGGCAGCCCCTGAATTTTAGATGGCGAAGGTGGAAGCGCAATGACAGAAGTATCTGACTTAGTAGTCGCTGAATCTATTTGCATCTGCTGAAAGCTTTGAGTCTCAAGATTAGGAGGATGAAGGCGGACATCAAAACTATGCTTCAAACTTCCACAATTGGTACAGAACTTCTGGAAGACATCATAACGAAACTCCATCTCAACAGGTTTGCTGGTACGGGTAATTTGCACAGTCCTCGCTAAGGTAATTTCATGATCAACATTGAAGCGGACTTTCACCCAGACTTCTGCGGGGCGAAGAGCAGTCGGTTCAGAAATCTCCACCTCTTCCACCTGACCAAGTTTGGAACCGATACTTCGAACAATTTGCTCCCTTCGGAAAATATTGGAGAGATTTTCAATCCGAATCCAAAAGGGGATTGTTTTGAGAAACGTTGGAAGCTCTCTTCGATTCCATCTATCAATTGCAACCATCCATCCCTTGAACGTATAAGGAGCATTCTCTAGAATTATGAGTAGATGGTGCTCCGAACGGAAGTAAAAATTAACAGTGTCATCGTCATTAATTTGGCCCTCTACCTTACCTGCCAAGTTCCAAGCCTTCAGAAGAGTGTGTTTCATGCTAGTTGGATTTTGATGATCCGGATTAAGACCTTGAACTACCAAGCACAAGCGATGATCCCTTTCATATTGATCTTGAGCATCTTCATGTACCTTCCATGTAGTTTTATCAGATCCAAGCTTCAGATTTTGAAAAGATTTCCATAGCTCCTTTTGGGCAGATGAGAAAGTTTGAGTAGCCATAGAAATTGAAATTGATCACAGTAAATCTGTGAAATTGGAAGGAAAACAAGGTTTAAACCAGATAAATTGGAAGAGAATTCAAACTTTGTCGAAGAAAGAACCCTAGAACAGGGAAGCGGTGATCGCCTTTTTTCGCCTCTCTCGCGAAGCTTCTTTTTTTTTCGGTTTCTAGTTGGCACTGTTATAAAATATTTAAAATTTAAGTATATATTTTTGTTCACTTAATAAATCTATTGGATGGAACTATTACATAATGTTACAACCTGAAGCTGAAACACTAGAAAATCAATCGGAGCCAATTAAAGTTAAATATTTCTTTCATAATTGTGTTATAACAATGAAACCGTGAAGAAGCCCATGCCACAAGAATCTCAAATATATATTGCAGTTCCCATTTCTAGAAATTTTCCTGTCCTCGTATCCGTCTCAAAGCTACTAACTCTTTGATATTTTAATGCTTTTTTCTTATTATATGATAGGTATATATTAGTTTATCCAGAAGGGTGTGATGTTTCCAACAATCTCTCTTTGTTTCTCTGTGTTGCAAACCTAATGATAAATCCTTTAAATAATTTATCATTTAGGTTTAACTCATTTTGAAACAGGTTGGAGCCATTTTGCCCAGTCTACTATAATTGTGATAAATAAAAATCCAAAGAAATCGAAGCATTCAAGTTATCTTTTTTGTGCATATTTTACATGTCCTTTAATATCCATTATCTTTGACAAACTACATAGATTCTTCTTGCAGATGCATTACATCGGTTTTGGAAGAAAGAGCATGATTGGGGATGGAAAAAGTATATGGAATTACCTGAGTTACATTAGGGTTTCTTAGATGACTATGACTCTCTTACAATTAAGGCTCAAGTTCACTTATGTGGAGACAAGCTCATCCTGTGTAACCAGTTGCATCACTTATGCAGTAGCATCCATCATCTTTGTGTAGCATGTTGCAGCAACATCTAAATGCTCATACTCAGCTGTAGAAGTGGTCAACGCCCTTTCCAAGGGATCCTCTGAACTCATCTCATGGAAGATCTGATCAGCAATGTTTGTGAGAACATCCACATAAAAAGTCTGTCCATCTATGGTTGGCTTCTTTATCAGCTTATCCATTTCGAATTTTATCACTAAATCGCCAACATTCAGCTCTATTCTACCCTTCCTGACGTCAATAATAGCTCCTGCAGTAGCTAAGAAGGGTCTGCCAAGAATCATGGGGTCTTTGGGCTCTTCTCCATACTCTAGAACCACAAAATCAGTAGGGATCATACAATCTCCTATTTTGATAGGAACATCCTCTATCACTCTTTCAGGAACTCTGACTGATCTATCAGCTAGGACAAGAGATATCCTTGTCGCCTTAAAATCGGTCATCCCCAAACTCTTGGCAACAGAATGAGGCATGAGGTTCACACTAGAACCAAGATCACACAATGACCTCTCAAACTTGTCATTGAAGATAGTGCAGTCTAAAACAAAGCTTCCTTGGTCTGAAAGCTTCTCTGGAACTTTGTTCTGAATCACTGCACTGACCTGCTCGTTGATCATCATAGCTCCAACCTCAAGACTCAAGTTATTGGTCACCATCCTCTTCACATACCTCCTTATAACAGGAGTGATCCTTACAGCATCTATCAATGGGATCTCTATTACCAACTTGTCCATGATAGCCTTGCATCTTGCATCTTCAAGCTCTTGCTTAGACTTCTTAGGATGCTTAGGATAGGGTATCTTGGGTTTATACACGGTCTCCTTAGCATTATCTGAAGTCTTAGGCGAAACTGCAGCATGTGGTGTCTGGTGACGAGCGTCACTGGAATGGTGGCGAGCGTCACTCACTTTGGACGAGTCGGGATTGATCACTGGATATGGGTGACGAGCGTCACCCACCTGGTGACGGTCGTCACCAATTTGTGAAGAGTCGGGGTCGGGGTTGTGCTCGATGGGTGACGAGCGACACCCATTATTGGTGACGAGCGTCACCCGTGGTTCTTCAGCAAATATTTCTTCATCTTCATACTCTTCCATACCCACGAAATTCCTTGAGGTTAAATCCTTCTGCAACACTGGTTGCAGATTCTTTCCACTCCTCAATGTGATGGCATTCACATGGTGTTTGGGATTAGCATCAGTTCTTCCTGGAAGAAATCCTTCTTGCCTCTGAACAGCTCCTGCAGTTTGGGCAACTTGAACATCAAGCTTCTTCATATGAGAGTTCAGACTCTCAATTTTTCCATTCAAATCCTGATAGAGCGAATCTATCTTGCCATTAAATTCCACTGTAAGCTTTTGTTGTCCTTCCAAGATCTGTTCTAACATTGCTTCCATTTTATTCCCTTGTGGAGGTGCTGGTTGATAGGAAGAAGAACCATAGTTTCTGTAATTTCCACTGTTCTGGAATGGCTTCTGATACTCTGTCTTCTGGAATGGGGGTCTAGGAGTGAAACCAGGCGTGCTCTGTCCTCCTGTAAGGGCGTTCTTCTGATTATTGTTGTTGTATCCTCTGTTCCACTGTTGATTCCCATACCTTTGTCCCTGAAAACCACCAGAATTGATGAAATTTACATCCTCCTGCTCAACTTCCTCTGGAGCTTCGAAAGTTTCCACTTCTGCAGCAAAGTGAACCGACTTCTTCCCCACCAAAAGGCTGTGCATATCATCCAACTTAGCCTTAACTTCAGCAATCTGATTTCCATCAGCTACACCAGCTTGTTTCATCCTCTGAAAGTCTGCATTTTTAGTGCTGTTGCTGCAGACCAAGTTCTCAATCAGTCTGATCGCCTCTTCTGGTATGTTGGTGTTGAAGTTTCCTGCACTTGCTGCATCCAGCGCCATCTGATATTTCCAGTCAATGCCTCTGAAGAAAATCCTAAGTAATTGCACCTGACTGAAACCATGATGAGGACAGTCCCTTTGATAAGACTTGAACCTGATCCAAGAGGCCTTGAAAGCTTCAGTAGGGGCTTGTGTAAATGATGCAATTTTCGTCCTCATGTCCTCTGATCTTGCATCATCATAGAAGTTGTTCAAAAAAGCATTCTTGGTGTCTTCCCAAGTAGTCAATGAAGCAGGTTCCAGTTGCTTCAGCCAATATGCAGCTTCTCCTTCAAGAGAGTAAGGAAAAAGCTTGCAGAACAGAAAGTCATTGCTAACCCCATTAGCTTTGACACTGGAAGCCAAGTCCTCAAATCTCTCTATGTGATCCATAGGATGCTCATGAGGTAAACCATGGAATGGATGCTGGCCAACCAGCTGATAGTAGACAGGTTTAACCTCAAAATCGTTCCTCTGGAAGGCAGGAGGTCGGATTGCAGCTCTGTTGGCATAGAACTGATCAGGTCTGTTGTAGTCACCTAGAGTCCTCTGAACAAAACGCCCAGCAGCGTTATTGACAGCAGCAGGGACTCCCACGTTCTCAGCCACTTGCTGAACCTGCTGTTCAACAATGACATTCCCCTCTTGATCAATTCTCTGCCCCTCTTCGTTCCTTATATTTCCTTCCTTGTCAACTAAGTGACCTTCTGCATCTTCAACCAAGATAAGTGGAGAGACCATTGTAGATTGCTTCTTAGCTTTCCTGTTAGTTCTCTCCAACCTAGCAAGCTCGTCGATGCTCAAAGTCACAAGATCCTTCTCTTTGTTGCTTCTGGTTCTGCGATTAGGCATACACCTGAAACAGGCACAGAGAAAAGAAACTAAAAGTCAGTAAACAAATAAAAACTTAGACAAAATCCTAATACTAAAAATCGATAGGCAGCTATTACTCCCCGGTAACGGCGCCAAAAACTTGATAGGGCTCAGGTTTTTCCCAAATAAAACTACTGCAAGTGTACAGCAAAAGCAGTTGTAGTACAAGGGGTATCGAAATCCAAGAGAGTAATGCAGACTACACTATCGAATGTAGATTCGGATTCAGCTAAGCAAGATATGATGTATGTAATGCGAATGAATAAATGAAAGTAAGCAAACGATTTTGTAAGATGATCTAAGTTCCAGAAAACTAAAAGCGCTAAGTCAGGGCAGTTCGCAGGTTGAATCCAAGAATGTATGACGCAGGAAATCAGGAATGATTAAGAACCGTTTTAAACATGAATCCCTGATGTATAACTAATCAATTCTCATTGCAAAAGTTATCTATGCCTAAATCACAGAGTTTCAAATCTCTTTGTAAACTCTAACAACCTAAGCATGCAGGAATGATCAGATTCAATTGTTTACAAAACTCCTAAGCCAAATCTCTTTGCACTAAGTTGCTTTGCTCATCAAATACTAGTTCAGGTTATGAATAATGCTCTCACATATATTTAACAACCTAAGATTTTCGGATTCCTAGATGATGTGTCTCAGAAATTCGATTTTAAAGCAAGCAGAGATGAAAAACCATAAGATATTCCTAACAGATAGCGATTCTACAATCTTTTCATCAACCTTTGAAAAACCCTAACTTAACTAGCAGATTACTCAGACATGATTATGAGATCACAAAACATAACTGAATAAAATTGCATTAAGAGAAAGAGTAAGAAATAAAAGGGGTTCGAAATCTTCTCAAAAGAGTACAGGATTTGTCTCCCCAAAAAGCTCTGAATAAATCTCTCTCTCAGCTCTCTGAATTCTCAAAAACTAAGATAATAGCCAACAATGACTGAAAAACCTAATAAATAGAGGCTAAACACGATCTAGGGTCTTCATATAAATAAAGAAACTTCTGGACCAATTCTGCAAATCTTCTTCATACTTTTAATAAAACAGCCACGCTCCTTCCTTGATGGGTGACGAGCGTCACCATATGTGATACTTTCTGCTTCGAGCTTGGTACTTCGTGGCTTCCACCCATAATGCTCCATAAGGTTCCAAAATCTCCAATTATGCTCCAGACATCCTATAACCTGCAAAGACTCTTCTAGGACTCTAAAAAGACCAAAAAGACTCAATAAAAATGACTTATATCATGGTTAAAAACCATAAAAACCATGATATATCAACCAGCCCACCTGCTCCCGCCGTGCGCTGTACCGAGGGGATAGTTCAGGAGGAAAGGTATATAAAAGGGAAGTTAAGGTCAAAGAAGAGAGGAGGCCCGATCCAATTCAAGATCGATCAAATAACTAGTGGCTTGACATAAGACTGGTACTCGAGAGAGAGAATATACTAGGAAAGAAAGAGAGTACGAGGAGAGGCCATCGATCTCAATCTCATCGGAGCTCGCCCCAACCCTAGTCATACAGCGAGACTGAAGGGTGTATGCTCGTCGTCCCCGGAAGGAACGTCAACCGAGATAAGCGTTCTCTTTCTCTTGTATCCCTACTTTACCCCTATGTAGAGAGAGAGAGAGTTCTTACCCTATTCTAATCATGGTCCATCTATTACGCTTCCAGTCTTACCAAATATCAGTCGGGTATCACGGTCTTCGGACGGGATACTCAAACCATAAACACCTCCACATATCTAATCTCCTGAGTTCCTAGTTTCCAGTAATGCGTGAATTGACTTGAGCGTCGGATAACCTTCGGGAGGGAAACCCTCTTTTCGGTTCTCTCGGAGGCCTGACTTACACAATTGCTAGTGTACGCAGGGTTCAGTTAAACTTTTGGCATCGGAACCGCGTGCTGCTCATACTCCAAAAGGTGGAATTTAGAAACCTACCTCCGCTATCTGGACAATCACACACCCTCGTAAATATTCTGTAATTTGCTCTTGAACATTACCAAACTCCAAACTTTAGTCATATAGATATAAGATCATAGATAGGTGTTTTCAGTGTGTAGATATGGATGTTTGATGCATTCACATAATTAATAATTAGTATGATCTCTTTTAGAATTATGGAAATTTGCCTAATTTTATATAGAACGTTTAATACAAAGTTTTAAATTATTGGAATACTGAGATTAGAGTAGATTTTTCTATTTGAAGATTAGTGGGAAAAAAATCGAAAACTCAACTGAAGAAGATAAATAATGCTTTTACAAAGTTAACATACGAAAGTTTATATCAATATATAAAAGTTTTCAAAACTTTAGGAATGTTTTTAAAAGATTTTTCAAAAATAATTATAGGTTATAAAGTTGTTACACTAATTGATTTGGGTTCACCATTCCTTAGAGAGGGATTTAGGGTTTAGACTTTAAATTTTAGGGTTTAGAATTTAGATTATCGTGTTTAAGATATAGTTTCGATTGTTTAAGGGTTTAGTTTATGTTTTAGATTATGACTTATATAAATTTTAGTATTTTACAAAAAAAACAAATTAGAGTTATAAGAAAAATATTTATATTTATATAATTGTTAAAGTGCTAGCCTATATTGTTTCGAAAAATATCACATCAAATCTAGTAACAAATTTAGAAAGTTAGTTTTTTAGTTAAAAAAGGCAAAAAATAAATATTTTTTATTAATGATTTTTTGAAAGACATTGTTTTTTATATTTTTCAGTCAAAACTGTTATTTTTTCAATAGTCCCAAATAAAAATAATATTGATAATATATGCAAAAAAAAACCTTTAAAAATTTTTTGAAATATTAAGTGAGTTTAGATAAAATATTTTTTTCTGTTGATTTCTTTTTGTGTGAAAAACATTTCACTAAATAAAAATATTCAAAACTTATCCAGGATAATAATAATTAATGGAAATAAAAATCATATAAAAGAAGAAAAAAGAGAATGTGTAGGAAGGAGAAAAAAAAATCATACAAAATAAAAAGAAATACAGCATTTAGCACTATAATAATATTTGATCATTTCTATTTTTCACAATCCATTCAAAAAGAAACAACATGGAAAATAGGAAGACACACATACATAGTAACAAGTAAGATAAATATTTTCAACTTTTCTGGGAAAAAAAAATGTAGAAAACAATTTTGAAAGGAGAACAACTTGTTATTACCATTTGATGCATCTTATTATGATAAAAATTAAGAACTAAAGTGGTAAAAAATCTTGAATTTTGAAGAAAATTATGATGTCTACGATAAAGAAGAATTGATTGTTTGTATGTGTGTGTGTGTTTATATATCTATGTGTTTTTGTGTGTATGTGTATCTATGTAACATTCTTATTTGTTTGAAATAAGCTTGAGATTCATATCATCTCGTGAAGCTTTCTAGCTTTTGAAAGAGACTATTGTGTTTTAAAATGAGTCAGCGATCACTAAATGATCACTTGAGAGTAAACAAGACTGGCAAGTACGTTCGAAAGAGTACTTCCCGCCAAGCTCACGTTAACGCTAAAGCCAGACCTCATCCGCCGCAGCCTCAACCGCCACTGGAAACGCAAGTGTACATCGTACACAAGGAAGACTTCAAACGCATTGTTCAGCAACTAACGGGTAATCAGTCATCTGAGCCTTCACCTCAAAACCTTCCACAGCCCCAGAGGACTACACCAGAGCCAATAAACTGGGCCTCATCGGTTCCTCCCAAAGCCACCGCGGTTGAAGAATATCCCCATGCGTTACTTGAAAGCTTACTTGAAGCCTCATCAGCATCTAATGGTGATCAACTGCAACAAGCATTTGGTGGGTATCAATCTCATATGCTGCCTCAACCTCAAGTTCCTACACAATCCATGCCATATTCCAATGGTCTTGAACCGGTCATGACCACTACTTTGAGCTCTCCTTGGCTCGATGCCTTGCCTCAACAATTGGACGGTGCTTACTCATTACAACCCGCATATGAGATTGATGCTCAACAAATGGCCGGTGCGTACTCACTGCTACCCGCATATGAGATTGATGCTCAACAAATGGCTGGTGCTTACTCACTGCAACCCGCATATGAGATTGATGCTCAACAAATGGGTGGTGCTTACTCAGTGCAACCCGCATATGAGATTGATGCTCAACAAATGGGCAGTGCTTACTCACAGCAACCCGCATATGAGATTGGTACTCAACAAATGGACGGTGCTTACTCATCGCAACCCGCATATGAGATTGATACTCAACAAATGGATGGTGCTTACTCAGTGCAACCCGCATATGAGATTGATACTCAAGAAACAAATGGTTCTTACTCATTGGAACCAACAACAGTTGAGTATCCTCAACCACTGACTCCAAACCTCACATTTTCGTCTATGGCTCCACCTGAAGATTTCGATCTTTCTTCCATCTAGGGCATCTCTTGTACTCATGTTCCATTTTAGCTATTTTCTACATCTCTTGTACTCATGTTTAGTTCTTTTCTACATCTCTTGTACTCATGTTCATTCAGTTCTTCTCTACATCTCTTGTACTCATGTTCATGTTTAGCTCGTTTCTACATCTCTTGTACTCATGTTTAGTTCTTTTCTACATCTCTTGCATCGTTTAGCTCTTTTCTACATCTCTTGTACTCATGTTCATTTAGCTCTTTTCTACATCTCTTGTACTCATGTTCGCAGTTGCTATCGCCTTTCAGTTTTTTCCTCCATATACCCTCAGAGGTTTCAGGACATCCATAACTCAAAAACAAGAAAGAAGCATGTTAGAGTAAGAGAGGTTTAGAGAGATTTTATTAGCTTTATGTTTGAATGATGATTGATGAAATGAATATCTGTTTCATTTATCATTAAATTAATCAACTCTTATTGTCTCCACTGTTTAATCATAAGAAAATGTGTAATAAAGACTCACTAGAATCAGTTGAACAAAAAAAAGACTCACTAGAATCTTCTCTTCATATATTTGTTTCACGTGATTTTCATCCGCACCAAAACTCACAAGTGGTCGAACATATAAGAGCATTTCCTTGGAAGTCTTTTGATAAAAACTCTCATCTAATGATAAGAAGTAAGTAATAGGAAATAGAGAAAGAGTGTGAGATGGATCTCTCAAATGAGAGAGTACTAACAGAGTTGTATTTTAATAAGTGGTTTTTTAAAAAAAAATTATAACTTAAAAATGAATTATAAAATTAAACTATACTAAAATTATTAATAATATATTTGATATGAGAGACTTTTACCAATAAAGATGTGTTTTAATGACTTTTTAACATCAAATTATATTAAAAATATTATATATAAGAAATATTGACAACAATTTAAAGTTTAGTTCAAAGTTTTATAACCATAAACAATGCATAAGGCGATGTCTCTCAAAAACGTCATCATAAAACTGTTAAGGTAATATATTTGATGCGTTTACCTGTCATCTAGCAACCAAAAAGCGTACTAGATGATATAGCCGATAAACTAACTCTTTGGTAAAATGGACAGTTATATTAGGTAAGGTTACTAACTTGTTTATGTATATCAACATAAAAATAAATGTCTTAGAAAACTAAATCGTATATGAGAAATAGAGAAAATAGGAAATAGCAAATACAAATTAAATATAAAGTATGAAACTGTAATAAAAAAATATAACGATAGAAATATATACTTTAAATTGGAAATATCAAATACATGAAATAGTAAATCTAAATTAATAATGTAAAATATGACAATTATAAAAATATATAAAAATATAAATCTAAACTTTAAGTGGGAGCTAAAATATAACAATTTTTCATACAACAGTTTTCTGAAATTTTATAAAACGTTTAGAAAAACTGTAGGTTTCTCAAAATTTTGAAAAGTTATATAAATTTTAATTTGTTTATCCTGAATAAACACTATTTATTTTTGGATTTTCCTCATTTAGTTTTTAGTTTATTTCATTTCTATAGAATCAAATCTAAAACAGAGGATGTGGTGCGAGATTGTGGTGGATTATGGAAAATTAGAAAGGGAATACGAAAAAAAAAATAAGGAAAGAAAGTGGTGTGAACCGTGAACCAGCATTATGATAATAAAATAATTCGATAACTTACAAAGGAAAAGAATAGAGAGATACGATGTCAGTAGGTTTGGGCATTCGGATATTCGTACGAGTTCAGGTTAATTTTATTCGATACATGTCGAGTTTGGTACATATCGATATATAATTAGTAAACTGGATTTTACCCAAACTTTGATTAGATACAGGTTTGGTTCGGATTCTGTCTTTGAAAGTAACCAAAATTTTGATTTAGTACAAATATTTATAATCCAGTTACCAAAAAAAAAATATATCCGAAAATATCCAAAATATATGTAATGGTTATTTAAAAATACTCAAAAACTTGAAAATATTTAAAATAGTTTTATCATTAAAAATTGAGTTTAAAATATTTTAATTTTAGATATTTCTGGATATCCATCTGTTTTTGGATATTTTAAATGTTCATTCGGTTCTTGATTTTATTTGGATTTGATAAAGATTCGACAAGTGTACGAGTGAAAACTCTATTTGAATAATTACATTAGTTTGGATTCAATTCAATTCAGTTCGATTTCTGTGATCAGGTTTTATGTCCAAGCCAAGGTGTCAGATTGAAGATTGTATCCACATACCATTAGTAAAAATATACTTTTACTATTAGCACTATCGAAATTAGTCACTGAAGCATATTGGTTAAAAAAGAAAAAGATATTTCTACCTATTACTCTAGTTTTCAATGGGAATAATTTTTTTTGGTAAAACAATGGGAATAATTTTTTTAAAAGGTTTTATCTTTATGATAAGATATTATTGATAATATTAGTACAGCCATGCATTATAATTCTGGCAATACGTTATAAATAATATGAATTATATTGCATGTCTTAACTGTTATTATATGCAAAAAATCCCTTAGAAGTAAAACCAATGTGTTAGATAGAAACATTGTTTTTGCAACAGCTAAAACCAGTTCCTTGTTTTAAAAATGATACCAAAAATAAAAATGATATTAAAATAATATTAAATGCAATAATCCCTCAAAAGAATAGTTGAAGGTGCTGTCAACCAAAAAAAAAAAATGAATAGTTTGAGGTTGTTACAGTATATAAGTTTTGATTCGGCATGATATCTCTTTTCTATTTACTAGTTTGTATAAAAATAGTTTCAATAAATAAGAATACTCAAACTTATCCAGGATAATAATGGAAAAAATACTATACAGAAAGAAACAAAATAGAGGATAAAAGAGATCATGTAGAGAGGAGAAAAGGATAGAAATTTTAAAACAAAAAAAAGATATATACTTATATTTCTTTATTAGCATTATAATTTAAAATTCATACAAAAGAAACAACACAGAAAATAGGAAAGCAGTTACACACACATACATAGAGTAACATGTAAGATAACTTTTTTTTTTAACAGCTAATATGTAAGATAAAACTTTTCAACTTTTCAGAAAAAATAGAGAAAATGTAGAAAACAGTTTTGAAAGGAAAACAACTTTTTATTAAAGCTGGATGCATCTCATTACTGAAAAAATCAAGAACTAAAGTGGTAGAAAATCTGGAATTTAAAGAGAATTATGATGTCTATGATAAAGAAATATTGCTTGCGTGTGTGTGTGTAACTTTATATATCTATCTGTTTGTGTGTGCGTCTGTAAAATAATTTTTTGTTTGAAAAAGCTTTAGACTCATAAGTCATAACATCTCGTGAAGCTTTCTAGCTTTGAAAGTGACTCTATTGGGTTTAAAGATGAATCATCGACCACAAAATGATCACTTGAGAATAAATAAGAATGGCAAATACATTCGAAAGAATATTTTCCACCAAGTACACTTTAACGCTAACGCCATATCTCAGCCGCCGCAACCGAAAACGCAAGTGTACATCATAGACAAGAAAGACTTCAAAAGCGTTGTGCAGCAGCTAACGGGTTATCAATCATGTGAGTCATCACCTCAAAACCTTCCACAGCGTCAGAAGATCAGACCGGAGCCAATAAACCGGACCTCACCGGTTCCTCCCAATGCCATCGCGGTTCAAGAGGATCTTCATGCCTCGTTATGTAGGCGTTATCTTGAAAGCTTACTTGAAGACTCATCAGAATCTAATGGCGATCAATTCCAACAACCATTTGATGAGTATCAATCTCATATGCTGGCTCAGCCTCAAGTTCCTATACAATCCATGTCATGTTCCAATGGTCTTGAACCGGTCAATATGACCACTACTTTGACCTCTCCTAGATTCGATGGCTCGCCTCAACAAATGGACGGTGCTTACTCATTCAGTTCAACGGTTGAGTATAATCAACCACTGACTGCAAACCTCACATTTTCGTCTATGACTCAACCTGAAGATTTCGATTTTGATATAGCACATCTATGTTAGTGTGTTACCTCTTTGTTTTCATTATTGTTGGGTTTTTGTTTTTATGTATTGGGTTTGGGGTTTTATTTGGTTTTATGTTGGCTAAGAGATGTCTTGTCTCCAAGTCTTTCAGATAGTATGAGTATCATTATTCTTGTAACGATGAATCTTGGTTTTAAAAGGTTCCATAACTCAAAAACAAGAAAAGAGCATGTAAGAGAAAGAGAGGCTTTATAAGCTTTATGTTTAGATGATGATGATGATATGATTTATTTGACTTATCATTAAATTAATCAACTCTTGTTATCTCCTCTAGGTAAATCATCAATAACATTAGAAAATGTGGTATAAAAGACTCACTAGAATCTGATATCCCTCTCTCTCTTCATGTATTTGTTCTTAAAACGGCAGTAAACAAAACCGGAACAAGTTGGCTTTCAAGAGGTTAACCAAGACCTTAGTTTGATGAACACACAAACAATTCAAGAACTTGATTTGATGAAATTTTCATACAAACTTGTGGAAAATACCAAATTTGTTACTTATCTACATACTCAAAAACAAGAGACTGAAGAAACAGAGAGAGGGTAAGAGAAGCTGTTAGCATATTGAAAGGAGAGTGTCTGTCCAGGAGCAAGAGGTTGACCGTCGTTGACCAGACAATCGTCGTAGGAGAGTCGCCTGAAAATTCTAGGGTTAACCAGTCTAACCGAGCTAAACCAGCCACAACTGACGTGGATCTCTGAGATCCTGCAATCCGAGGAACATGTGTTGATGATCTCAACTGTAAATGCAGGAACACCATTTGGAAGTGGAAACGTTGAGTCTTGAACGACAACAATATCTTCTTTTGAGCATTCTTGTCCGATCCTGTTGGTTCCTTCGCCATTGTCTGAAAATGTCTCTGTAGGTTTTATCTTTAGGGTTTATTAGAACATAAAAAACAGAGAGATAGATCTTCAAATTGATATGTGAAGCCAACAGTGTCTAAAAATGTAAAAACAGAGACTAATCTTAAAAAGCCGATAGTGTCTATGAATTAGTGGATAAGTACGGAATGTGATGATGAAAACTGTTAGAAAATGTGTGTTTAGGGTTCCTAATACATAAAAACAGAGACTGATCATATTGGATATGTGAAGCCAAACAGTGACTATAAAGTACCGGGAGATAGCAGGAGCTTTCTGGAAAAGACAGTGCGGTTCTCGTAATTAGATATAAAGTTTCTATCATTGGAACCTTCCAAGTCAATTGCCTTCACATCTGCAATGTTGAGAAGATTCAAATACAATTGGTGTGCCGTAAGAAGAAGAAGAAGAAGTAGAAGAAGATAGGGATAAGAACTTACATAGAGAAGGAGACAGCAACATTCCAAGACCTATAAAGAAGAACCACTGTTGGAATTGGTAGATATGTTCCATTCTCTTGCACTGGCCAAAAGATGTGGAGACTTCTTCTCTGTTTTTAGTAGATGCAGATGTATTTTATAGAGGTATGATCATACACATGCATGGTGAAGAGAGAGAGAGAGAGAGAGAGAGAGAGAGAGAGAGAGAGAGAGAGAGAGAGAGAGAGAGAGAGAGAGAGAGAGACTTGAAAAGAAACTTAAGAAAGCTAAGAAAGCTAAGTATGTGATTGCATGCATGTCTGCTGGTTTCGTTAGGTATGGACCAATCCCCTGTATCATCTCAAAAATCTAACTACCTCGAGATTCAGACAAACATAAGTATTACCAATCTTTTGTTAAAAAGGCTGACAAAAAGTAGTTGAGCCATTAACTATACAAAACCACAATAAAACACCTATCAACAAAACTTAAAGAAAAAAATTAGTAGCACCTATGTTAGATTTCCACACCGAACAAGAGTTGGACAATCAAGAAAACAGGAATCTATGCTTTTTTCAAGAAATATACCCTTTGGAGGTTTCTTCATCAGTCCAGTACAAGCTCAAAGGACGCCCGACCAAATCTAATCACGGTTTCCGCAAAAGCCCACTTATGAGAATATATTATTAAGTCTTACAACCCTTGCTTGCTTAGAAGAGGTAGTAAATAATTATATAACACTTTACTTAGTCAACCAAGTTTCGAGACCAATCCAAAGAGGGTGAATTACTGTTGCGCAAGAAAGATCCTTGTAAACAAGAAACGTTTTAGGATCATGTTCATTCTCTAGTACTGTAATTAAAGTATCGCATAAAATTGTTAAACTATTTTTATTCCATAGTTATCATCAATACATTAAAAATTACAAAACCAGCAACAAGAACATAGGGTCTCTCACACATGTCTCGATTCCCCCAGACTTTGGTTGGTCACTTGGTCTTCAACAACATCAATCTGCAACGTAAATCAAACATCTTTCCATTGATACATGAAGTAACAAAGCACAGACTCACTTAGAACATGTTATTTTCCTACATGAAAAACGGTTACCACTTCTTTCGCAAGAAATAAACTTTTTAGATTCCAAAGAAAATTGGACGATAAGGCAACACTCTTTCAACAGAGGAGACTACAAAGACAAATCACAGGCATCTTCCATTTTACAAGCCTTAATGTGGTCAAAGGCTGATAATGTGGAAGATGCATGGGATTTGTCTTATTGTTACATCCTCAACACTCTTAAAGAGTTGCAAAAACCATTCATGAGATTATTATAAGCCAGAGCGTAAAGACACTTAAAACATGTTCTTCTCTAATCCAATACGACAACACAGACCACCTATTTAGCAAGAAGCTTCATATAACATTAGGGAAACACTCTTTTAGAAGAGGAGACTACAAGACAAATCCCAGACATCTTCCATTTTACAAGCCTTCATGTGTTCAAAGGCTAATAATGTGGAAGATGCATGGGATTTGTCTTATTGTTACATCCTCAACACTCTTAAAGAGTTGCAAAACCAATTCATGAGATTATTATAAGTCAGAGCGTAAAGACACACTTAAAACATGTTCTTCTCTAAACCAATACGAAAACAGAGACCACCTATTTAGCAAGAAATGAAGTTTTGGTCTTACATGCTTCATATAACATTGGGGAAACACTCTTTTAGAAGAGGAGACTACAAAACAAATCCCAAGCATCTAGTACCTTCTCTTCAAGAAAGAGGGTTACATACAGCGTCCTCTACCCTCTCCTTTAAGACTTGCAAAATCCATTCATGAGACGATTATAAGTCACTTCGTTTGGGAAAAGCAAACACTTGATTACCAAAACGTAGTGACTTATAATACTCTCATAAACAATCTTCCCAAGAAAAGATCAAGCAAAAAGAGAGAGTAAGAAAACATCTCCATAAACAATCTGATCAAGATACTGCAAACATATTACAAAAACTTTATCACAATGCTCCGAGATTCCGTTTCCACCTGCAGATATAGATCAAAACACCATACTTCTTTTACATCAGAATATAGAACTTAACAAAGAGAATCGCGAAATTCAATAGAGTTAAAGAACCGACTACATTAGCACCGGAAAAATATACAAAAACCGATACAAAAACGAGAGAGAATTTACAGGATCTACCTTTCCCGATGATGAGATCCTTTCGTCGACAACGAAGATCAAGATCTCAATCGCAGTGGATCCAATCTTGCTTCAGACTGTGACAAAGGGTTGAGATCGATTCAAAGCTCTGTTTCGTGAGTGGCAATGTAAAACAATGTACGGCGTACCCTAAAAGAGATTGTTGAGTGAAGGAGAGCGTTCTTAATATAGGCTAAGATAAGGAAACCGGTTAAGTAACGGTTTGAGCTTGCCAACCCGGTTAAAGTCAACCCTAAATAGAAATACAAGGAGTTAGGTTAACGATTTTACATCTTTTTGTTACCGGGTTACTATTATTACAGTACTCAGCCTCGCCCGCCCGTCGAACACTCGTTTTTGCCACAAAACAAGTTATACTGGCTCGTATGGAATCCATGTCCTTTATTTTCTTAAAGGATTATTCTGTTGAAAATGCACAATAATATTACAAAACTTTGATCTTTTTGGATCACACATATGGTGAAGTAGTTTAGACAGAAAAAAACGTGAAACATAGATTGAGTTTAGTTGCGGAACCACTAAAAAATATACAATATGAAGTGAAAAGGAAAATGGGTGAAGAAAATGTAAAAGATCTGTTGTCACTTGTCACTACCACCGTAACAGTGGTTAAATTCATTGGTAACATTTTTTTTCTTTTTTAATTGGAATATATTAGATCAACATTGTAACACCGCCTCAAGGGTTTTGACCCTTTTGTTCCAGGAGGAATAACCTCTCATCATATTGCAGCAGGGACGTTGGGTATATTAGTGGGCTTATTCCATCTTAGTATTCGGCCGCCTCAACGTCTATACAAAAGATTACGTATGGAAAATATTGAAACCGTCCTTTCTAGTAGTATTGTTGCTGTCTTTTTTGCAGCTTTTGTTGTTGCTGGAACTATGTGGTATGGTTCTGCAACTTTCCAACCAAGTTACCACAACATTAACTCTAAATCAATATTCATTTCATAGATATAAATCTAAATAGTCTTGCAAATAACCAACTTAAACTCAAATAAATCATAATCAAGTCTCAAAACCAACTGAAAACCATTTGAAATAGAAAGCTAAGTGTCTTAAAGACCCCAAGGACCGAACTAGAGAACCAGCTCGCCACCATCACACGCCAATCACTCCTGCTGCTCCTGCTCACCTGCGCAAGGAGGAACGAGAAAGGAGGGGATGAGTAATTTAGATTACCCAGGAGAATGCATACATGTGGTCCACCACACATATCATTACCCAACCTGTCGCTAGCTAGAGCCAAACGAACAAGCGCAGTTTAACAATTCCTCTAACAATCAACAAAAAATAATGCAATGCACAAAGCGAGCATATTGAACGCCTCTCTTACAGTATCCCACGGATTAACCTCCGCAAGTTTCGTATGTCTTACACCCTTGCTAGGGGACGCATCTCTGATTTTACAAACTTCTTTCTGAAACCAATGTAATTTAAAAACTTTATTTTTATAATACTTGTAATAATATATAATCACAAATATAAAAGTTATGTTAAATAATAATTAACTTATAATATTTTATAAATATTTATATAATATGCTTTATTTCTCCTTACACAATCTACAATATGCTTTTTGCGTCTTACATCATATGAATTTGCAAATACATATATAATATATTTTAAGTATATATTTTTCTTGATTTATTGCAAATTAAACTGAAATATTTTTTACCATTTTTACTTATTCTTAAGAGTGGATAGATGGTTGGTAGTTGGCACGCATGTGCGGGCATACCAACTACTTCACTTTTAGAATAGATAAATATTTTTAAAAATATAAATTATATAATAATTAAAAAAAATTAGTCTGTAATCAATCTTAACAAATTACATGCACGAAAAAGTTCGCATGTGACTTCAACTAATGTACAATTAATATTTATGTTTGTACGCATATTTGTAAAAAAATTGAAATATGGCTCTTAGGTGTTAAAAAGTTTTTAAGTGACTTTTTAAAACAAAGTGCGAGAGATTTATTTTTATATACTTCTATTTTTATTTCTTATTCATATTGTTTTATCTTATTATAATTTATTCTTTCATTCGGTTATTTTTTATTTTATTTATGTTCTCAAAATTTTGATATACAATGAAAATAAATTTATGTATATAAATATATACATATGATATAAAATTTATTTTTATTTAAAATATGATAAGAGATAAGATGAGATGGTAACATAAGTTATATACATTTTAGAAAATAACAATAAAAAATGATAAAAGTTATAGAAAAATATATGGTCCTATTAATATTATAAAATAATAATTAGTATATACTTTATTCATTTAGTAAATATTGGTTTGAAAAGAAAGATTATTTAAAATTACGTTTTTAAAAAAAAAATCAATAAAAGTTGATTATTTTTAACATTTTATTCTTTAAATTATTTTTATCATGATTGTATTTTATTTAATAATTTGTTTATTTAAAACTTGTTTAGATGTTATTAATATATTTTTGTAAATTAATAAATTTCCGAAATAAAAATATATCATACTTCAAGTATTATTAATAAATAGAATTTTTATTATTCTATTGTATAATTTAATATTATTTTTGGATTTTATATGAAATTATAATATATATATATTATTGAAAATTTTCGTAATTATATTTTATAAAATTATGAGTATATGTAAAAAATTGAAATTATAATAATTTTTTATTTCTTGTTAATTTAAATTTGTTAATTTTAGTGTTATAAGTATAATATTTTTTATTTATGTTTTAATTCTACAATTTATATAATTTTAATTCAACCAATCAAAATATTTCGTTTATTTTAGGAAGTTTGACATGTCACATTTACATGTCATCAATTAAAAGCACTAACTTTGGCTGTAGTGTTGACAAGTCATCTATTTTCAATAATGTTACTTCTCAAATAATAT